CTGGCTGCCGCAAGAGAGGAGGCCCGAAGAGGAGATCCAAGGACTGCCTGAAACAATCCCTCAGCCTTAGCCATGTTGATCACCACCACTGGTCTACCCCGGCCTCCAGTCGGGAGACACACCATCTATAACGCTGCTGCTGCTTTTGAGAACACACGCAGGATCACTCTCGAGGAGAAAAGACAACGCAGAAAGAATCGCGTCTTGTCGATATCACCTGGGGAGTCTTTCTGCTGTACCTTCTGCAACCGGATTTGTCTATCTCACACTGGCCTTTTTAGCCATCAGTGCGCTTGTAGCAAACGTGGGTAGAGCCCTTCTCAAATCTTTGTTCGCGAAGCCTAGCCATGATGATGAATTGCAGCTCATTAATGTCTTCAACACTCGGCGTGCAGGCTTTGTATTGGGGCACGTTTCCTGGGGGCTTTGATGGCATTTTGTTAACAAAGTCGGAATGTCAAGAGTTTGAATTGCTTTCCAAAGTTCACAGCAAAATGGGCTGAAGTGGGTAGGGAACAAGGCAATCCTGCTTTCCCTGTGGCACTGCTTGGCTGACATCGTCCCAGTGAGTTTGAGGTTGCAATGCCTAAGATGTGCTCCTTTGAACGACCCCAGTGCAGCTGGATGGTGCCCAGGCTGGCTGAGAGCTTGCAGCCTTTTTTTGCAAGGGTATTTCTTCCCTTGTTTCTTTTCTTGTTCTTTTCCAGACCACTCTTGTCACCTCAACCCTTCATCTTTCCCATTCTACCCGTGCCAGAGCAGTCTGCCCCTGCTTTCCCACCCCTTTTCCTCCTTGCCCCCTTCCCCATGCTCTTTTCTTCTTCTAGAGCTCCAAGTTTGGCAGGAGCACCAAGCCAAGGCTCCTTCCAGCCTCAGACAGAGCAGGGGGCTTCCCCTAAGCGAGCAGGTGGAACAGCTTCAGGAATCTCTTCCTTCCTCACAGGGAAGCAACCCTTCTGCCAGAAAACCTGGTAGACTCTTAAGACAGATTTCTGACATGCCTGCTTCCGAGGTTCTTAAGTTCCTTGATCTGTCCCTATTAGCTGGAGAAAAGAAGGGTGGAAGATTTTTTGCAGCTCACATAGGACAGCTCAGCCTGGGGAGGAACACAGGCTTCACCTTAGAAATTGCAAAACTGTACAGCATCCAGCCACCACATGCTCAGTTATCTTGTGTCCAGCAGTGACCAGCTCCAGGTCTTTTAAGAGCAGGTATGGCCAAGTAAAGACAGAATACTCTTTTCTCATCAAAGACTCAAAGATTTATTTATTTGGGGGGTTTTGGATGGGGCAGGGTTCTGGGGGAAGGACCCTGATGTTCCTTCTGAAATGCATTCTAGCATGAGCTGCGATCATTTTGGGTAATTTTATTTTCCCTGGTTTGAATATTAGTGTTTTGCAATATCTTGCTTTGTTTGGGGTGCTTTTGGAACACTGAGGGAACTTTTGTTCCTTCAGAGCCTTTATCCCTTACCAGAATACTTCTATATTTATCCCATAATAGAAAACCTGTTGCAAACCAAACACAGCCCAGGTTTTTGGCTTCTGTTTAGTTTTTGAAATTGACTCTCAATGGGCCATGTGAAGGCAAATGAGTTGCAGGTTGGAGAGGGGAAGCAAACTCCAAATCTTTGACGTTCTCAGGTCCTCCCAATTGACTTAAACTGCAAAGTTTGTCACTTCTTTGAACTCCCTGTGTTGAGTAATGGGAAGTAATGCTTTCCTGAATGCAAGATTATTAAATGCCAGATTCTTTTATGCCTCCACAGCAAAGATATTTTTGTGCTGCAGGTAATCACTTCCATGAAGAAATCATTCCAGCAAGGAGCCACAACTTCTGCCTTCTGACAGATGCCAAGCATTGCC